GGAAGGACAAAGGAGGACTGCAGATGAACAGTGTACACCCGATCACGGCCGTCAAATGGTGATCTAACGGTTTGAGATCGAGTGACGCCGTTTTTCGCTTCCGGTACCAGATAAATAGGCAGTCTTTATTTCCTTATCCCAAACTTTTTCTAGCCCTAGTGCCCTATAAGCAACTTCCAGAGCTTACAAGTAGGTGAACGAAGTCGCAGAACTTGCATGTCAACCACTCTAGCGACCACTAGTGGAAGAAATTAGTATCAATCAATATACCACTACTAGTAGTAGTTTTGTATCTAGGCGCCGTTCAATGACGCCCTTTAATCGTCGTTTTCCGGGCACTTTCGTCGTCGACGTTGCATGTGTGTGCTCGTGCGGTCGCGCCCCCGGCTGGCATCTGATTCGTCAGTCACGCTCGTGCGTTCGTGCACTTCAGCCTGTCGTCGTGTGCTTTCTGATGGCCGCATTATATCAATATCAAATTCATTGTCAAATATCTTTTATATTCTAGATGCGGGTATTGCCTTTTTCTGTTACTAACCCTATTTTGACAAAAATAGAATTCAATTAATTTGAAATAGTGGAATTACAAGCTTTTTTTGCGAGAAACTTTTGATCCATTCATCTCCAATCATGACAGTACAACGAGCATCAGAAATAATAAAAATTAGATCAAAAATCGTAGAACACATAGTGACAACTATAAGCATTGAAGCAAGCTGAAGGCGCGCCGCCGTCATCGCCCTAGGTGTGGATACTTTTTTTTACGACAAATGGTGAACTTTATTGGCTCAAAATGGAGCATTGGAAAGATATAAACACAATGGGTACACATCTGGCCTTTGCAGAGTTAAGATGCACATAGTCAACACCAATGCAGGCACACAAAAAAATACATCGTTAAATATCAAAGTCATATAAGACCATAACTATGCATATGCGAGTAAAAAAAGAAAATAAAACCTAAAGTGATCAGATCTGCAATATGCAAACTACAATAGTGACCACATCCGCACTAACCATCTCATGACACCACACAGACGAGGAGGTTCTTCAACAACCAAGCTAGGCACAGATTAAAGCTTGCTATTTTTTAATCATTGTCGGCACAATCATGTTAGTCACCAGTTATACTTGGCTATTCTGGATGTGTAAGGAAAACTCAAATCCCTTTGAAATCATTCTTTTCTTATGAGAATTCCCCTGCACTCCTACAACACAAAGAGTTCTTTAAGACCACTCACCTCAACTGGTTCTAGTAAACCTACACCTCAAGCACCATAGGAATTTGTAAATGGATTGCAAGAAAAAATATATCTATCTCCTCATCAAACTCTATAGAGGCGATTTTCCGAGCGTTCCTACCATGCCGCCAATTCTCCTCAACTGATAAGCCATTCCCCTCCTCCATTGGTTCTGTCAGAGTGGGAGTGCGGGGAGATCATGATATACCCTATGTAGGTCTATTTTCCCTGCTTCCGGCTATAAGTAGAGTTAGACGGTGACAATTTGTTTGGTGGCTACGCACCGATCTGACCATATTCCTCAAGCCTCCCAATCTCGACGATGTCATCTACGAGAATGATGATTGCTTGTTGGCGTAGATCTTTGCCAGCCTCTGATGCTGGTGAGGTCAGTGTCCGCAACATTTGTCGGTGAGCGGCGGCGACGGCTTTCCTTTGCATTTTGGTCCTTTGGCGACCTCTAGATCACGTTGGTTCGACCTTGTGACTCATGTGAGCTTTTTTTTAAGGTCGGGATATGTGGATCTTCCGGTTGCAACTCCGGAGGCCAATATAAAAGCTCAAACAGATAGAAACAACAAGATGAAATACCTGAACAACCAACATGAGGAGACCATGCACCTAACATGTTACTTGGACTTGGAAAATTTGCCCGTAAGATAGGCAAGTGAAATGGTATACTAATAGCATGACTTCTTTTGCTAGATGGCCAAACTAAAGCAGAAGTCACCTTTAAGATGCAACTTGTCGGGCACCTCAAAATTGAGTAGATGATACTCCAGAAAAACCCAAGTCAAGTAATAATACACCAACTCCTGATCTACGCGGCAACATCTATGCAGGACAGGGTAGAAAATTAGAAAATCACTCAACATGTTGTTGATACATCAGACAAACCAAGCCAAGTACTAGTAATAATACACCAACCCTCGATCGACGCTGCCCACTGCAACAACTATGCAAGACAGGGAAGGAAATGGAAATTTACTCAACATGTTGGTGTACTTTTACTCAACATGTTGGTACGAATTAGTTTCTAATGTTATTTCATCAACTTTTCACATGGATACATTCATCCCCGCTGGAACTCGTCGATTGACCGATCCTAGATTGTTAAAACTAATTAACTTGAATTTCCCTCAGAGACAGAGAAGGGAAAGGATTAAACTTTCTGCTACACTTGCTTAAATTTGTGAGTCGTGACAGTGCCGCCATTTTTTTTGTTAGCTTGCTTGGCATGCTGAGCACGGTGGCGTCACAGAGATTGCTCGTTCTATCTGGCCGCCTTGACCACCTTCGTTAGCCCGGCGGGGCCGCCGTACGCCGCTCCGGTGTCTCGGAACCCGCAGAAGAACTGCCGGTGTTCGGGCTGCGCCACGGGCGATGGCATTGGCATGCCGATGCCGGCATTGGCGGAGAAGCTGGGCACGGTGCACGCCGAGGCAGACGACGTCGACGCGACGCGCTTGCAGGAGAGGCACATGGTTAGGGTGGTGAGGGGCCCCGCCGCGGCGCCGTTATGCGCCGGCGGTGCGGCCTTGAGCGCCCTGAGCTCGGCCACCTCCTTCTCGAGGCGGCGGTTCTGCTCGGCGAGCTGCTCGCACCAGCGCTTCATGTACTCGCAGTCCACCTCCGTCTGCTTCAGCTTGGTGCGGGCCCGACGGTTCTGGAACCACACCTCCACCTGCCGCGGGCGCAGCCCGAGGCTGTTGGCCAGCGCCAGCTTCTGCTTCTGCAAACACAAAAGAAATCCATGTCATTTTCCCCATCCTCGATCTCCAAGAATCATCCATGTGGTGTGATCGACCGTGTTGCGTTGCGTGCAATGAGGCGAGACACGTACCGGAGTGAGGGTGTGGTGCGTCTTGAAGCACTCCTCGAGGACGGCCGCCTGGTCCTTGGACAGCCGGAGCTTCTTGCGCGCGTTGCCGCCGTCGTCGTCCTGGTCCTCGTCGCCGCTGCCGGCGGACCTCTCGGCGCCGCGCTTCAGCCCGCTGCCGCTGCCGCTCGAGGCCGGGCTGCCTGGCGAACACCTCCTCTCCTCCACCGCCGCCGCGGTCGGAGTCGGGCCCACTTCTTGGTCCGCCGCCACATTGCCGCCGGAGTACCAGAAGCTCGGCTGTGAGGGCCGGGAAACGAGGCCCAGGCCAAGGCTCAGGCCAAGATCCAGGCTCTGAGGCGCCATTATATTGAACTAACTAGCTGAGCTCTGTCTGTCCGTGTGTAGGAACTAGGAAGGTCGAGAGGAAGGAGAGAGCTCGCCGGCGGTGGTGATGAGCAAATGATGCGCAGGTGCGCGGGTATAAATAGGGGGATCGGAGCGATGGTTAACCGGGGATGATGGGAGGGGGCGGGCGACAATGATGAGCTGGTGCGCGTGGGGTGGATCTCCTTTGGAGATCCTGTGGCGAGTTTCCATGGCGGCCCTTGACCCTTGACAAGGCACTGGGGATGCACTGCCGGAGTAATCAACTGCCTAAATCGCTGGCTGCTCCAGGTTCCCAGGTGAGATTGCATTACGTTAGGGTCATGTGAGCAAGAGAAATCGCACCGGCTCGTGTAAAATAATTACGCTCATGATAGTACAATCAGTGTGCGTACAAGTGGGGATTAATAGTAACATAATCAAGATGCAAGCTGTTGCATCGTCGCATGATTGCAGCATTACCATAGTGCTTCTGGAGGAGATCAAGGACGTGATTAGGCCTCTTTCCAGAGGTTCTGTCAGGAGATTAGCAGAGGTGGTAACATGGGTTGGAGCCTTTTAAGCATCGGAACTAATCATGCCTTATTGTGAACAACTTATCGTAATGCAATCTCTTACTGAAACATACACGCTCGCATGCACACAGAAACAGCTACCTGTATAAACGCATAGACGCGTATCACACTCCTATGAGCACTTTCGGGAAACCGTGTCGGCAAATCTGGAGATTGACGAAATCACCACGGACGTCACGTGGATGGAAACGTCGTCTCCAACTGAAAAGACTTCGCTGGGAAAGAAGAAAAACAAAGAAATTTGGATTTACAAGGCGCAACCAAATCTTGGCCAACCGGCCACAATTGTTCATCTCGTCAACTTTCTGATTTCAAGCATGTTTAAATGTTAAATCAGAAACTTGGTCGTAGAAGAAACGGTTAAATCTAACCCCTTAGATAAACAACAAAAAAAACCATAAGTGATTACAAATTTCGAATAAAAATACAAGTGGAATTTATATCCTTAGAAGTTTCATGTTTTTAAAAACATTTTCTGAGATTTTTTTGTTTATTTTGACATTCGACTAAAAAAGTATTTAAATGGATTTCAATTAAGGTAATGTCAATGTTTGTTCTTTAAAATATCATACTTTTCTCCATATTTCCAAACTTCATTAAAAATTCTGTCTAAGCGCTTGGAATAAGCGGATACATATATTAAAAAAAATCAACAACTCAAAAAATAAATTCTCTTTAAGAAACCCCCCCAAGGAAAAAAAAACTTGTAGAAGAAGTTAAATCTACCACTCTCCTAGCCCCTTAAGTAACCAACCACAAGACACAATTATTTTTCCAAACTTTTACTCTAATGAGTTGGGTTGAAAAAAATTGTCAAATCAATCTCCCCTAATAGAAAAAGGTAGAAAGTTAGTTGTCAAAGAAACTATTAAATCTAGGCCTTTAACGCTATGAACCACAAAGGCAAGAGGTCATCTTCTATGAATTTTATCCTAAAAGTCTAATACTATGCAACTTTTCATAGATATTTCATATTTTCATAATTCCATTTTATATTTTTCTTTAATGTTAGTATTTTTCATATTTTTAGTAAATTCAATTAAAAAGTGTTTAAAAATATTTCCTGTTTCTGAGAACATAGTATATTTTTTCAAGGGAAGACAATGTTCATGATTGTTCTAAGGAAATTTGGTCATTTGTTGGTTTTTCCCAGCTGACATTCCATTTAGTTCAGTTACAATCTTCCTTAAGGAAAAAAAATGGTTGTAGAAGTGGTTGTTAAATCTAGAACCGCATTTCATGCACGGCCAACACAGTTGTTCATCTTCTATATTTTTATTTTTCTAAATTTTTATTATCTTCAATAATATTTTGCTAATATTATTGTATCATTTTCTAATTATTTTTCTATAACATTATATGTCAAAAAAATTGTAAATCTAGTGTTTCAATAGATTACCATTTTATGTCAATGTAATATATTGTTCGCTCATAATTGTTCTATAAAAATATTATTAGTTTTCATCCTTTTTCTTAAAAGTTATTCTAACTAGTCGAATTAAGGAAAAATAAATCTTGGCATCAGTTTTTTGTGTCGACATATTGTTAAAATTCTGAACTAATTTAATCTGAACTGACATAATGACATGCGTACCCTCCACTTGGTTCTGAGCATTGACAAAACACAATGCATGTGTTCAAAAAAAAGGAGACAAAACAAAATGCACCCGCCGCATGGTGTGACAGACAAACGAGCGCACATTGTGGTCTTGTGTTCTCTTATACTCCCTCTGTTCCAAAATAGTTGTCGTCGGGGATTATCAGTTCATTTTTTGTCACGTTACGATATTTCTCCCGTTTCCCCTTTTGCCCTCGCACTCGCTCTCTCCCCGACCACACGCTCTCTCCCGGCCAACACTCTCTCCCCGACGACCACAAGGCGCCCGACGACCACTCGCTCCTCCTTGCCCAGATCCCTTGTGCCGTCGGCCAGTCGCCGCCCTCTCCCTCTCGTCGGTGTCTTCCTCACCGCAGCCTTGCTCCTCACCACCCCTAAAACTAGCAACCCGTCTCCCCCTCGTCGGTCAAAGGTGAAATTTTTACCAGCCGGGGTGCTCGATCTGTGGGCGGCGGTGCTCGATCCGTGTTGGAGCAGCGGGAGGAGGAGGGCAGTGCTGGATTGGAGCAGCGGTGCTGGACCGGAGCAGCGGGAATAGGGGGGTGGTGCCGGCCGCTCTTACTTTGTGTAGTCCTCTTCACTCTCGTCATGTCGTTGCCGCCGCCGAGGAAGACGGAGAGCCCGTCGGAGGGATGAGCGCCATGGCCAGTTCTGACCTCCTCCGTCCAGATCCAGCTCCAGGTTAGTTCACTACTCTCCCTCTCTCCATGAAATTTTTTGGGGCAGAGCCGATTCGGCCAGCCTCCAGCTGCGAATTTCTATTGAATCGCCTGCCGTTTGTGGGTAATTCCAGCAATCATCCCCTCTTGTTGCTTGCTATCTCAATTTCAAGACTAAAGAAGAGAACATGGGGAGCAGCAGCTGCCCTCTGCTCTGCTCTTATGCGAATGCTCTACTGCAGGACCGTGGCAGCGATGCTCGCCAAAGCGAACGACAACCACTCCCGTGCAAACAAAGGTACAGACTGGTCCTGGTGGGTGATGAGGGCGCTCTGGCCTCTGTAGTTACATGAGACAACAGTTCTTTGTGCAAATGTTGGCTGAATTTGCCTCTGACTCGTCTCTGCACTCGACTGAATTCGCCTCTTTGTGCAATGTTGCTGCTACAGGTGAGCATTCAGGAAAATAACACTTGGCTGAACTTCAGGAAAAAGATGCACCGAATCTTAGTAAGCGGATACTCATAGCCGAATTCTTTTGGATGCACATATAGTTTGTATCACAACTTAAATAATGACAGTAAATAAACTCTCAATTGCACTGTCCAGTAATTGAAAATAAATTACACCTTTTCAGTTAATTTAAATTAACTGAAACCTTTTGTACTCCCATGATCAGTGTTACTGTACAGTAATTAACACCGAATTTGTAAGTGCAAGTAGTGCTTGTTTTCAGGAGTAGGATGCTGATCAATAGTGCTTGTTTGAAGTAATTGTTTGCTCTGTAGTGCATTTTTGCTGCAACCTAATCTGTGGAGTATCAAGCTAATTGGAAGAAAGCCAATTGCTTGCTCTGTAGGAACTTTTATGTGCTTGAGTATAGGATTTGCTGTTTAGCAAGGCTTTGAGTAATTCTACTCACTTCTCTTCTCTTCAGTAAATTAAATTTAGGAGTAGGAGTAGTTCTTAGAACTACTATGCACCTTAAAACTACTCTTGTTAATTAACTGAAACTACTCTGCACCTTAGAACTACTCCTGTTAATTAACTGAAAATACTTTTTTAAGTTAATTAACTTAATTTCTTTCTGTTAGGAGTAGGAGTAGTTCTTGGAGTAGGAAGAGGAGCAGTGCGAAGAATTCTCTTCTCTTCTCTTACTCTTCTCTTCTCTACTCTCGCTCTCTTCTCTTCACTTCTCTTTCTCTTCTCTTTTCAGTAGTCTGCTCCAAAATTCTGCAATGAGGCCCGTGTTTCCACTGCTATTTATTTTCTGAATCACATTTTCAGTTTTGCAAATTCTGCAATTTTGCACATGAAGCTTCTGTAATTTTGCCCATGAAGCTTCAGATTTTAGCACATGAAGCTTCTGCTACTGTTAATCTTGTCATGAATCTTCTGTTGACTTGGTACATTAGCTTAAAATGAATCTTTTCCTTTAAGTAAAACTAAATGAAACTTTTTTTGTTAATTTAACAGTTGCAGACTTGCAGTAGTATAGCACTTGCAGTAGTGTAGGACATCAGTAGTTTAGTGTAGGACAGCAATAGTTTGGTGTAAGTTTCAGTTCATTAACTGAATTTTTTCAGTTACTTAACTAAAACTTTTTCAGTTACAGCAGGACTTCTCTTCTCTCTTCTTCTCTCTTCTCTTTCTCTTCTTTTGAGCTCAATCATGCACATTTGTAGAGTTAGGAAAATTCTGTTGAGCTTGTAAACATCATAGCCTTCAAATTCCTCCCAAACACCTGCAATAAGGTCTTGTAGTGTTTTAGGACTCAGACAATCTGTCAGCGATTGCAGCGAGTTGAAAAACCCAAGGTCAAGCACATTCAAGTCAGGACTGTTGGCAGGCTGTTGTACTAATCTAATGTCAAGTCTAGTTTTTGCGACAGCTGCTAGAAATTCCTGGTCATCTGGCAAGATATGGGGCTTAGCATTATCCTGCTGAATGTAGATGGTCTGTCCAGCATCACTTTCCGGCCAAACTGCTTGTATCGCTGGCAAGACTTTCTCTATCAGGAACTCCCTCATCACTTTTCTGTCGACCTTTATTGACTTTGTCTCTATTGTACCTCTGGGCCTGTTGTCGCTTCTCCTCTGAGCAGGAACTTCTTTCACGAATGGCCAGA